TATCAAATTAAGTTGGTCTCATCTAAATTAAAAAATTTTAGAAGTAATGAATAATAAATATAAGTACTTGTATTATATCATAAGAAATGATCAAGTGCTTAAAATTGAGGAATGAAGAAATGTTAATGAAATACAATATTTAAAATTGTTACTAAAAAGAATCAACTATGCTAAATAACATTAAAATCATAAACCTACCTACTGATAATAATATAAATCTACCCAAATTATTAAACTACCTGCTGTTAAAAATTGCTAATCAAAACTAACTGAAATCGTTTTTCTACTCTAGTTTAAAAAAAAGTTAAATACAAAATATATTTGTGTTTAAATAATTTTAACTTATTATACAAAAAAAAAGAAAATTTATTCTGCTTAAGTATGAGGATATAACTCTGGTTAGGATATAACCCAGTAGAATATAATCCAGGTATGATTGAAATGTTTCTGCAATCAGAACTAAAATTGTCATTTTTTAGTCATAATAATTTGGTAATTATATCATAATTGCATATTTTGATAATTTAATTTATTAAATTACCTGAATATTGTAACTTGTAACGACTAATCAAAAATGTTAAAATATAGATATAATAATTTGGTAATTATATCATAATTGCATAGTAATAGTTATAGCCTAATAATTCAGTAATTATGTCATAATTGTATATAATAACTCAAGTTATCAATTACCTGAATATCATATCTCATAATGACCAATCAAAAATATTAAAGTACACAGATTCTCACTTAAATTATATAAATATGTAAATAGATCAAAAAATGTTAAAATGCAAAAACCCAAAATTCTCACATACAGATTACAGTTTTTGGATTATAGCCAATCAAAAACATTAAAATGCACAGACCCAGAATTGAATTATATAGATAAAAAAATAAAATGAAAATAAAAACAAAAATAAAAATACTAATTTAAAAGAAACAAATTAATAAATTTATATATACTCAATTTGTGGCAATAAATAGTAGTTATTTATATTAAATATTTTAATTAAATTGGTTAATATAATTAAAATAACAAATACTTTTTTCTATATTAAAATAAAAAATTTTTAGACTTACAAAATAGTTTAATGAGTTTTATAACTGATATTTAAGAATTTTTGAGAGCTTTATTATACTATAAATCTAATTTTTTAAAATCAAAATTTTTTAAAATTAAAATTGATCAATATTTTTTATTTTCAAAAACTTAATTTGATTGGTTGGCTAGATATTACTGCAAAATGCATTAATTATCTAATAAAAATTCACCAGATCTAATTTACAATACATGATTTGAATATTTTTCTTTACTATAGCTAGGGTATTAATCAGAAGATAGCAAAAAACCAAGAATCTAAATAACAAACCAAGGTCAGGTTGTAAAAAGATCACAATCTAAAAACAAGACAAATAAATTTTAAAGCTAGCAAAAGAAAATGAAAATATGGGCTATTGCAGTAGAAAAGGCTGATACTGTCCAAAAAATAAAAATTAAGTTTTTGACATATTTGAATAAATTTTGATAATTATAAATAGAAATTGATTTGCATAATAAAAAATTGAGACATTTTACAAAATTTCTTTATAAGACTTGTATATTACGAGATTATCTGATATAACTAACTAATCAAATCATAAAAAATTTAATTACCCAGATTAGTCTGAACAAAACAAACTCAATTATTTCAAAATTGTATATATTTCAGTATCGGCTCTTTCTACTACAAAAGCCCCATATTATAGACTCAAAAATCTGCTATAAGTTAATAAAACAGAATATTAAGATTAATATATAAACTATTCAATAGTGTCTTGGTAAAGATAAGGCTAATTATTACAGAAAGCTTGTAAAAGCTTTATTCGGAGAAAAGTTTCAAAAAAAATATATTTTATAGGTGAAGAAACATAAAGTTTTTAACTTGAATTTTGTAATATTTATAGATAAAAGTACTTTTTATTTGAATTAATAGTTAAAAAAGCTTGGCAGTTCTTTGGGAAAAGAAAATTAACTCATTTTGTCAAGAATCTGTTGAAGGTTCATGTATAAGGCTGTTTTCTTCTTTGGAGTTTAGCAAGTTAGTCTGCTTTATATATAATCTTAATGTTTAATATATGATTATCTTGTATAATACAGGCCTTCTACTTTCTGTTGTGAACCTTTTTGATAAAGATTGTGCTGATTGGATCTTGCAGAAGGATAATGATTCAAAGTATCATTCAAAGATTACAAAAGTATAGAAGAAAAACAATAATATTCAAGTTTTCCCTGACTATTAATATCACCCAACCAAAACCTGATTGAGAATGTTTAAAGACTTAAGAAAGTGAACCTGGCAAAAAAAAAACAGAAAACTTAGTATTTTAAAAGCTAAAATAATGAAAGAATAGAATTGTTGTCTAAAGAATATATAAAAAATTTAGTAAACAGCATAAGGAGTTGTATAGAAATCCTAATTAAGGCTAAAAGTGATTATACAATATATTAATTTTTTTGAAATGCAGTATATTTTTAAATAAAAAAATTTTTTATCTACCTTATCTCTGTGATAAGTTAGAAATATAGAAAAACTTTTGTCAAGTACTGTAATATTTAAACAATAGTGATAAACTATATCTAAACATAATTCAACATATTATATACTTAAAAATGAATGTTTAATTGTTGCAGCTATTTCAAAAAGATATAGAAATCAATTCACATATACCCATATATAAATATAAGTATTGAATATGGCAAACAATTTAACAATTTAAATTATACTATAATTGTAATAAATATATATTAACCAATTCAGTGAAAATTTTTTTATTTAAATTCTATAGATCTATAGAATTCAAATAAAAATTTTATTAAATTTAATATATATTTTATTTTTTACAAGTACTATGTTAATATTATCTCAACTTAAATTTGAAATAGTAATAAAGAAAAAGATCTAATTTGGTTTATTATTTTATTGCCTCTAAATTTATTTATATTTGTATATAAATTATATAAATTAAAGGTATTTACTATTTTCTCTCCAGATTGATTTCTTTAAAAATAATACAATTGTATAATTTTTTAATTTTTTTATATTAAATTTAATTGTTTAATTTAAATAATTGAATTTAATTTTATAGCAAGTTAATAAATAATTACATATATTTTAAAAGTATAAATAAATTTAAAAATTATTTAAAGTAATTTTTATAGCCTATCTAGTAAGCAATAAAAAGTTTTATTTTAATAAGTAAATTTCTTTAGAGCAGAACTCAATTCTAGTATTTTATAATCATAGATATTATATTACAAAAAATTAAAACTTATTACAACAATAGAGATTTTGTAAATACTAAAATAATAGTAGATGACAACTATAAAACAATTTACTATATTCATTGTCAAATACTTATAATACAGTACAATCTGAATATTTTAATAAAACTTTATCTAAAAGATGAGCTTACAAAAAAAATAATTACTATATTATAAAAAAAAATATGACAAAAGAAAACATGGATAATGTATTAAAATATTTTTATTTTGAAAAGCAATATATCTTACAGAGAGTTAAAAATTTATAAACATATTTTCATTAGCTAATAAAATATATATAAATATATATCTTGATATTTTAAAATAATATTTTGTATACAACATAGAAATATTATTAAATAAAAATTTGCAACTAATTCTTAATTTTACTAAAATTTATAATATTATACAAAAAAACAGTTATAAAAATAATATTTAATAAACCTACACTATTTTTTTTAGCTAAAAATTTTCAAAATATGACTATTCAATATTTGAGATTAGTTATATTATAAAATAACCTAAATGCAAAAAAACATCAAACTCTCATGAAAGTAATTTTATGATTAAAGACAAAGATTGGAATAAACATAAAAATATATTAAAATATATATGTTTTGATTAAATAAACAATAAAGATTTTAAAAACTTAAATTGCTTGCGAAATTCAAAGAACAAATCAGTGAAAACATATTAAATAAAGTATCTGATATTTATTCAAACTTTAAAACTAAAAATTTTATTTGTTATAGAAATATAAATATCGACTCAAAGATCATATGCAAAGAACAACTTATAAAGTTAATACAGTGGATTGATAGAGAAGAAACAACAAATTACAGATACAATTTTAATTTATTATTAAAAAAAAATGTAAACAAAGCTAAGCAATTTCACAGCTCTTGTGATAATAAAGAGGCTACAATAGTGATTGAAAAGTTAAAGAATAAAGGTTATAACCCTTTAAGTTGATCAAGTGATGATATGTACAAATATACAGAAGATAGTTTTATATTTAGTAGTAAAGATAAATATATGCGATTAGGTAGGATTACATCTAGTAATTTTATCAATGCAATTTTCTGTTATAATTAAAGTCCTAAATTCAGAGGAAATAATTGGTGGATATAATCCGTTAGATTGGTGTAGTGTAGAATTAATTAACGATGGAAATAGAACACTACCGTCTAATATTTATCATAATTATAGATGTGAAACGTCAAAAAGTTTTATATTTTCATTACTTTCATCTTCGAAAGGAGCAATTTCTCGATTTAGTCATATCTCTACTGAAAAGTAGGCAATCATTGGGTGTAATAATAAAGGACCATGCTTCGGATTACAAGATTTGTGGATACAGAATAACTCTTCTGTTACTGGTACAAGCAAAAAACACTCTTATGAAATGGGAATTATTGACAGAGATACCTTTGAAATAGAAGAATATAAAGTGTTTCAGATTATTGATGAGAGATTCTCATTTAGAGTGATTCAATTTATTAAGAGGTTCTCATTTAGAATGATTTAATTTATTAAGAGGTTCTTATTTGGAATGATTCATATGATTCAGTTTATTATGAAACTTTTAATTAGAATAGTTTATTACTTTGGTGAATCATTAATTCATTTCTTTACTAATCTAAATAGCCCTGGAAATATTATTCTATTTTGTTTTTTAATGTCATCCTTAATAACGTTTTTGGTATTTACATTTATTCATATTAATGTTACAATGAAAATTTTTATAGCCGCAGTTTCCTCTACCATTTCTATTAGAATTTTTTTTCACGTCATACTTTCTTCATAAGGTAGCTGCGCGATGCTGTTGCGTGAAACCAGGAACATAAATTATGAGTGTGCCAGAATTGTTTATCAGTACAGGCGGCTTTTCCAGACTGGTCATAATAACTGATAAAAAATAA